GACATTAGGTTGCAGAAACCTAATTTACTGACATTCATTTTTTAAATGTTTTCTTGTTTCCTATCATGCCTCTTAAACTGGTTAAGTGACGTGATTTGCTAGTAGTTGTGCTCTGTGCAAGCAAAAAGTATTGGTTAAGTGGACTGGCCCTCCTTTGAAGTATTACACGTTTATTTGTACAATAAAATTTCTGAATGTGAAGACTTAAGTCCCCTACAACATTAACAGTACTTGACTGCAGTAAACGCTCCAACCGAGGTACCTTACCAACAAAATTCGTCTTTGTTATACATCATAAAGTTCTATGGTCCAAATTAAGTCTTCCCTTGAATTTTGCCCAACCTTTTTGGTGATCGAACTCATCAGAGGAGTAGACTGTGCTCTTCAGATGGCTGATTTCTTTGAATTCGCACAAACGACACATCTGCGAGATCATCCATACGAACTGCAGGAACACCATGCCAAATTAGAAGTGCGGGCCAAATTCTTTCACCCCCGGTCATCGAAGACTGGAAAAAACTTCCTTCCTCAGTTGTTCTTGCCGAAAGTGGCGACGCATTTAAAAGAAGACTCAATCTTAATTTACTTGCTGGTCATTTATTTCGTAGATAACAACGATTTGTATAATGTACATATATGGCTTTGAAACACCTGCAGGATCTGGTAGCATCTATCTGCATATAGAGTTTTCAAATTTTCTGCGTATCGCCCCTATATAGAATAAATTAGACTGAAGTATAACCCTTTATTTTACTCTATTTTTATAAGTGAAATCTTGGGATGAAGACGCAACTTGTTTAAAGCGATTGACACAAATAGCCACATGGGATTGGAACTTGCAGCAGGGGGCGTGCTGGCCACTGACGAGGTGAAAGCAGTTTCAGTGGTTGGATACATTCGATACTTACGACGGGCTGACCAACAACCACAGTACAAATTACCCAAATCCTACTTTTTCGGGCATTATGAAGCGTTGGTCAATGTCTCTAACGCACAACAGCGATTCCGAAAAAGAAAAATGCCTAAATCTAATTTATGTCCTTTGGGCCTTTTTATGGAGGCCTCAGCCGGCAGGTACTGACATGGAGAGACTGTCAAAAAAGAAGATAAACTGGAATTGTTATTTCAGGCATATCAGTCGTACATTTTTCAGGCCTCCCTCCACGTTTGGAAAATCTGAGATTCGAAATCAGGAACGTTTGTTTATTCAGAGTGGAGTTGAACTTCTTACCACTTAGTCATGGCTAAGATCAGTTACTGTCAGTTCATATGAATATTTAATATTGTAGTAGGATTGATTACAGATCAGAGTACAGAAATGACCAAGCAACGGTGGAAATGAAGAGAAATCCCAACAGCTGTAGCGGCAGTTGGTGTCTTTTAATCTCACATTTACTGAATTAAGAATAACAGGCCAAGGGCCTAGGATTTCCTCGAAAATTCGAGCAACAGAAACGAGGGGTAGGCTAAAATACGGGATGGAGGTGATGCGAACAGCAAGAATGGTCAAACCAAAATCAAAAATTAAATGGAACCGAGTAGATCATATATTTTAATCCCCCAGCCACTAAAATGACCAGACCATCATTGA